TCCTCTGTGTTATGGTGTAAAATATATTTCTTTTTCAGTCTTTGTCCATCTGAAACTGTAATTTGAGCACACCTTGTAGTCACAGAATGGGTTTAGTTTTGTATTTTGCTTCGTTGGATTACTCTTCTATCCTGAGCACTTCTCTGCTGCTACATAATTATTACAACCATATTCTTAAATTACAAAGTAATATTGTATCAAGTGACTCACCCATAATTTACTGACCCCTTATTATATTTTGACATTGTTTTCAATTTTCTTCACAATTATAAGTAACCGAGATGAACACATTTATTCATGAAACATTTTATTTTTATTAGGGTTATCTTTTGAAAATTAAACTTCAATAATTTCCTTGAAGACTTCTGAAGCTGACTGCTTTTGATTTTAAAATATAATACTATCATTTGTAGGACTTTTAAAGTAATTTAATTATGGCCAGTGGTTGCATTGATGATAGAGAAGCAAATAAAATAATGGATATGTATAGTGTCTGGTACCTAAAATTCGTGAAGATGACCATAAGAGATGCTTTGGGGAAGAGATTTGATAATAGCTTATTTCCAAAATTTTAAAAACAAAAACAAAAAGAAGACCCCCCTGAAAAGGTCTGTTTTTCACACTTCATGCTTTTTGAGCCTATGACCTCAGGGCTCACCGGTTGTGCCAACAACCAGCACTGGGGGACAACAGACCCAGCTCTTTCCCTGGACAGTAAGGACTGGGGAATGTAATGAAGAAAACATTTGTATTGACTGGAGGAAGAAAAGAACTGGAAGGTGACAGCACCCCAGTCAACTCAAGTGCCCAAGCTGAGGGGTTTTCCAGGATGTGGGACCCTGAGGGCTAATGCTGGGCCAGCCAGCAGGAGTTTGACATCCTACAGGGATCTGACACTTTCTCTAAAGCCTCCCAGGCCAGAAACTAGGCCAAGAGGGTTGACATTGGCTGCAGGCGGTTTCTCCAACCTAGCATCACGTGGCACATTGTACCTACAGTGAATGGCCGGTCTCTGGATTCCCTGAAGAAAAGGCCGAGAGTCCTGAGTTGGACATGCTCAGGGGAGGGGCCCTGGAATACTGCTGCAGGGGAGAATCTCCTGGGAGCATTACAACTGCCTCGGCTCAGGGTGCATCTCAGATGGACTAAACCGGAACCACTGAAAGGGAGCTTGGCCGTCAGCAGTTGGGATGAGGACTCCCCGTGTGCCTCACCACAGTCCACACAGGGCAACTCTTGTGTGAATAACCTGGGGACTTTTTTAAATGCAGAGTCTCGACCAGCAGGACTTTCGGGGGAGGGGGGCGGTGACTTAAGATTCCACATTTCTAAAAAGCTCAAATGGGGACGATGCTGCTGGTCATCTAGTGAATGCAATGAAGCACTTCAGCAGCAAATGAGGGTGGAGGAGAACTCAGGCGTGATGTGGGCAGGGAGCATCCATGAACTTGAGAAGTATTAGGGGCCTTTCAATTCCAGAGATGCCTGGATTTTTGAAAACCACATTGTAAGTCTTCCCGAGCTGTTTTGAAATGCGAACTTTTCTCTAAAGATGAATTATATAATCTAAATCTTTTGACAGGTTGTCCCATTTGAGTCACAATGTATATGTCATGACTAGGACACTATTATAAACTGTTACAAGCACAAATTAAATGGTTCAAAACCTAATCTTTTTAGTATCTTGCCTTCATTAAAAATACCGGGAAATATTGCTTCCATGATTTTGTTCTGGTGGCTTCCGTGTAGCACAAAAAGAACTCTTCTCTCCACATTTGCAGCCAGACTTTTTGGCTGGAAGGGGATGCTGGACCTCAAAACAAAACCCAGGTGACAGGTATGTCCCTCCATAGATGAGTAGCCTTGGAATCTTTCGGCACTTGGGACATCTGTCTTGATCAATGTGAAAAGTAGGTTTCCTTAGTTGTAGCAACTACCCTTCTCTTAGCATCAAGGTCCATCAAGAAAAAGTGATGGACAGGACTGGGTCTTCCAGTATTTGCCATTCAGCAAATGGAAGGCTTATCTCTAGGGAATCTCAGCATTGCCTGGTGGTCAAATACAGGATCCAGGAGCTGTCTTCATTCGATTTCTGCTGCTATAACAAAACACCTGAGATCCAGAATTTAAAAAGAATAGAGGTTTTAATTGTCTTAATTAGAGGCTGGGAAGTCTGTTTGGGTATCTTGCTGCTTCATAACATGGCAGAAGGTATCTCATAGGGAGAACATGCCTGCCAGCTTGGATCTCTCTTCCTCTTCTTATACAGCCACTAATGCATCATAGGGGCCTCATCCCATAACCTCTTCTTCATGAAACCCTGACTAAACCCATTGATCATTTGACTCAAGGGAAAAGAGTGTGGAGGTGAGGAGGAAGGATTGAGGGACCTCTGTGAACAAAAGGATTCGGGGTCTACTGTGCTTGAAGGGAAGGGGACTTTCCCTGTCCACACGCCCAGCTAGTTGGTGTGTGGGATCTGTCAGACCATCCCTGTACTAGCATATGGGAAAGAGCCACTTTCTAAATTGAGGGTCACTTTCTAAGGACCTTCAGTTGCCAACATCTCAGAGACCCCCCTGGAAGGAAAGTCAAACCCCTTCCTGTCAGGTACCTGCCACTGTTCCTTACACCACACTGAAACCGAGAGACGAACCCCAGTATCCAACACCCAAACACTGAAATCAGAGAACAATGTGGCAAAAATGTATACAACTAGGGGAAATTTAACTTAGGAATCCTGTCTGTGTAAATGCTAATTTCAAATAGAGTAAAAGGGACTATTGTTTGTTGAGCTCTGATTCTTGGCCAAACCCGACCCAAAACATCTCATTTAATCTTTCCGACAACTCTCCCTGGTGGGAGGCACAGCTGGGTCTCCCATGAAGAAGGCTGCTCCGGCGAGGTCGGCTACCTACCCAAGATGCACACTTGGCAGCAGAAGCCAAAGCCACATTTCTGCTTTGAGCTGTTTTTCTTCTCCTGACTCCATGATTTTTACTGTTTAAGAAACGCCTGTGTGTACCGACACTCCTGTGTTTCTAAAACATATATCCAAAGACAGGCTGCTCTATTTCACAGAAACACCCTGCTGTGGGATTTTGATATGTTTTCAAAGTAGGAAGGATTGCTAGGAAGCATCCTGCCTCCCTTTATGCCTGCATCAAACATAAATAGACGCTGTCACCTCTAGGGATATTCTCTAGGGTCTCTGAGAAAACAGTGTCAACAATGGATTTTCCTTCCAGAGAAATGCTCAGACTCGTATGCACACACTCTTTTTTGTAGACTTTCTGGGGGCTTCCAGGTGCCCTGTCACCTGTGGCTAAGACATTTGAAAGACCGGAGCTTTCTCACTGCTGTAATGCTCTTCATTTGAAACTTTCCCAGAGGCCAGCTTCAAAGGAGACAAACTTTCATTCATTGATCAAGTATTGATTGACTCTGCCAGGCCTGGGCTGGGCATTGACCACAGGACAGTGAAGGGACATGATTGTTGCCCTTAAGAGCTCACAGGCTAAGGAGGATGCTAACAGGTAAACAGACTCTTACTTAGGAAGCACCCCTACTGGAGGAGTGGTGGCCTAGAGTGAGGGATTGTGAGGTGAAGGGGGGAGAGCCAGTCCTGCAGAAAGCCCAGACTTGAGGGAACATTGAGTAGAGCAGGTATTTGTCATTAATATTGTCTGTGTGCATTGAACCCCTTTCTATCCTTGCAAAACATCACCCTATAAACAGGAACACTGCATGTGGCACAGGCTTTCTCCCCCTCTAGAAGCCAAGTGCCAGCTACTCCTTGGCACTTCGGGCAGCACCTGCAGCCTAATCCCCATGATGAGGGTCTCCAGTCCAGATTCTGGTGCAGCAACTGCATCTACCCTCCAGAGGTGGCCATGGTGAAGGGTCCAGCAGCCACAGTGGTGGCACTGTGGTGCAAGCCATAGTATCTGTGCCCTGTGACGGCCACCATGGTATCTACCAGATCTATCTGTCCATAACCTGGGTCCTGTGTTCCTGGATGGGTCAGTTGGTGACCATCTGACCTCCAGCCACATGTCTGGAGCCTCCTAGAGATACTCTGATTTGCCTGATACTCTCTGCAGCATAAATTTCCAATGCCGGTTTCCATGCCTTGTATCCCAGACCTAGCTGGTGCAATAATTTTCTGTGGCCAGCACAGAACAGAGCAGGGGTGGCAGGTGCTGTGTGGATCTGAACCCTCAGGGGGCTGCCCTGTTATTCCACAGAGCCGATGATGTATCTAGCTGGTAACACCCAGAGGGCAGCAACAGGAGACCGAGAGCTTACTGATCATGATGCTGGTTGGTTTTCTATCAAGTGATTTTGCTCAGCACTCGCTTCCCTGAACCTTTGGCCTTCTTGGTTTGAATAATCATAAATTATCTGCTGGTGATCTTTCCACTCTCATTTTAATCTTGGCTAGAGAGCTCAGTTGACGCGCTTTATATTTAGTGAGTGCCGAATGTGATCTGCAGAAGTGGGGGATGTGAGGAAGCAGAAGACAATTTCCCCGCACGGAGGGCCCTTCAAATTTGGTTGAAAAGATTGGACATGAGCACAAATCAAGATAAAATCTGCTCCCAAATACCTGTCCTGTGAGCAGTGCAACAGAAACAACAAATTATATTATACAAACTCAGGGATGGAATTTGTAGATTCTATGCATTCCAGAATATTCTCCAATCATGGTCCAACTCAAGGCTGAACAGCTGAACTTAAGATGGATAGTTTGCTTTGACAACTGCATCAACCCACTGACGTTGACACATAACAGCCACAGAGTAAGATCTCATCTCCTTCCTTACTCATATTGGGGCTCCATAAAATGCTCATAGGTGATGCCCCCAAGTGTAGAGGCAGAAGGGTCCCAGGGAGAATGATCTGGGCTTTCATGTGAAGTATCCCAAAGGTCCCACATGAGCACAAACTTTCCTATAATTATTATCTGATCAAATACACTGGTTCCCTTGAAGTCTCACCTTCGTTGGCTCCCAGGAAACAGGAAGAGGATGAGAAGGGAGGCTGAATCGTAAGCGCCATGGTGGAGTTCAGAAAGAGTAGTGGGTGCGGTTTGTCCCTGTGTCCCTGGATGGTGTTGTTAACACACTTTTTTTTTGTTGTTATTGTTCTTAGCACCAAATTTAAAATAGACGTTTACAAAAACCATGAGTGGAAATCGACTGCGTGAGCCTTGCGTTCAGAAGGTGCCATCTGTTCCAGTTTTTACCCTGCAGTCAGAGCGTTAACATCTCCCCGGCAGAGGTACCATTTGTCAGCGTTTTCTGCGGCTGGAGTTACTGAACGGTTCATTTTTTATTCTTGGGCCTAAGTCAGCTGAAATTCTCTGGGTGCCGACGTCTTGAGGTTTTGCTGTCTTTTCGGTCACCTCCTTGTTTGAGGGAATTTCCTTTCAAAAGTCTATCAGGAGAAGGGACAGGCTCTGGAACCAACCCTGCTTAGGGCTCTCCAAGAAACTTGGGTGGAAAAGTGCAGAGATGAGATTCCCCCGCAGAGCCGCCGGTGTCTATCTTCATGATTAACTTCAGTGCGACTTAAATGAGTTTTAAAGACCTCATAAAAGAATGGGGGGAAGTCTTTGGGGGAAGGAAAAATACAATATTTCTATTTCAACGGCCAGTGATCTTTATAAACCCTAATTAAGCCCTGATGGGGTATAAAGTATCCCAACTTTTATAAATGACTCTGTCAACTAGACGATATGCAATGCTTAAATTCCCACAGGATTCCTGCTCGTTTTCAATAGCATTTTAGTGAAGGGGAAGAATATAAAACTCAGTTTGAATCGTATTTTACTGAAAGAAGAAAATAATCTATGACATTTCTGTGCCGAGGCAAATAATTCCGGTTTCTGGGGGTTTGGCTCTTCCTCTTGGATTTGCGAAGAAAAACGCACCTTACTGCGGAGGACGTCGTTACTCTTATTTTAAAACCTGCTGCTCATTCTTCTCCTTTTTCCCACCTTCGAACAGGTGTGCGGGCTTTAAAATTAACAAAACTGTCATTTTTCTCTAGGCCCATGCACTAGTCATTTAAAAGCTTTTGAATTGTCTGTTTCCAAAGGTAAAAAGAACATGAAGCAACTACAGTAAAAAACAAACAACATACATTTCTAGTTGGCAGCAGGAAGGGACACGGGGGCACTAGAACTGGGGGTGGGGAGGGGAACTCATCTATTAACCCAAAATGGAAAAAAAAATCGAAATAATTTTTAACGATCCGCTTTCAAATGTGCCATTGCACTCGAGGAGAGGAAACTCTAGCCTCACTGTGAAAATCGTCGGGGAAAAATTATGGAGCAACAGGCCTGAGCCTCTTTCCCAGGCAAGAGGAAATCAACCCCAGAGGCCCAGGTGACCCTGTCCATCAGGAGCTGTGACGTCTGTGACTGGAGCTGAGGAAACGCCAAGGAGGAAAAGCGGGTGGCCGGTACATCAGCCCCGCCTGGCCTTGTTCCCCTGTGCCGAGCTGAGGCCTGGGGATGGGGAGACTGCCCAAGCCTGGCGAGCTGGGGTGCTTTGCAAGGACATGTCAACTCCCTTGGCTTGGACTCTGTCCTCACTCATGGGTTACATTTTGATCACAACTCAGGACTTGGCTGTCCATGGGGGCTTTCCTCAGAGAGCTCATGTCACCACCTCCAGGGCCACTCAACAGCGGGACCTCCTTCCTTCAGCTTGGCCCTAGGCTGGGTACTAACTGCATATCACTGTCCACAGTCCTCAGCAGAGGGTACTCTAGTTATCACCTCTCTGCAAGAGAGGAAGGAAGCAGCCCAAGAGCGAGCTCCCTTGCCCCAAGTCGCACATCAAACAGGGAGCAGATCGAGGTTTTGAACCCAGACCCAAATGTGATGCTCTTGACCGCTATACCATCCTGATTGTGTGGGCCGTTTGCAGGTGTGTCTCATAAAGTGAGTACAGTTAAGATGTTGAGCAATCAATGTTGGTCTCTTAAGAATTTAGGATAACCTCCAAACTCTAGTTTCTTGTTCTAGAAAACACCCATTTGGTGACTTGAAGTATATTTCAAGTATATTCAATAAAAGTTGGCTATTATTATCATGATTATTATCATTATTAACATCATTGGTCTTTTATGAGTTTAGTGTGCTAGGTACAGTCTTGAAGATATCAATTGTGTCCCCGTTGATGGTTCAAGAAAGCATCCAGTTTCTGGAACAACCAGGATGAAGTCGTGAGTATGTCTATGATACTTCTTTATCTCAGTGGCTTTGAATTACAACAACCAGTAATTATGATTACTTAAATAAAATCAAGCAAGCACAAAAATAAGAAACATAATAATTATACCAGAAACACTCATGCAATGCCTACTTTAGATGAACACTAAATTTAGGTCTGAGCTTCCTGATAGCCAAAGTGAAAAAGCAAAACCAGCAAGATTCACACCTTGGGTGTAAAGAATCTCACACCTGTTCCTTGGGAGGCTCACACTTCCCAGCATTAAATCTTACAAAGAGTGGTTAATGCATCAAATAACCCTTAATGGGATGACGAATTCCTTCAAAGAGTAGTTCTATTCAGAATCAAGTCATGTTATTTATATTGAGCTTCTAATTCTAACCTATGATTAGAAAGGTAGACACATGGCTAATTAGGAGGACTATTTAATGAAGACACATCTGAATCACAGCCTGGTGCTCTACCAATGAACAGGGCAGAAATAAAGGACTCACTGGGACATCCCTCAGCATTGCCCTGAGCATGAGTCCTGGGCATTCTTTAACAGGCAATACCCGCTTTTGGTGGGCAGCACAGAGCGGTCCCTTCAAAGCTGAGCTGTCTGCAGAGAGTTGAGTGAAAGAGCTCTGGGCTGACTGGAAGGAGGTCAACGTCTATGGCTGCCAATTTGGGATTAGATAACATGATAGATTTTTGTTATGTTTATTAGGAAAGCCAACATGAATTTTCATTCCAGCAGAGGACAATGTTAATCATATTTGTAATGAGTATCTGAGGGGGAAAGACAGACTATCTCATGTGGTTATTAACACATCAGTACAAATTCTCTGATCTTAAATAATTTTTTCTGTATAGCAAAGTAAAGAAATGCATATTCAAGATTCAGTCTTTGTGTGTGCATATATATATATACTCCAAATCCTGTGGGTGTACATGCATCTGTGTGTAGATATTCAATTTCATGTATCATTTTTTGAGTTCTCTGCTAAAGTTCAAAAACTATTGTTTCATAACTTACTTTTAAATACCTCCCTAGAGTTTCATTGTCAAGTTTTGAGAAATTTAACCATACCTTCATTGTTGCCGATCTTAAAAGTATTTATTCATTTTGCTAAAATGGACATTTTTATCCATAACGGATATGGATAAAAACAGCTTTGATGTTTCTTCCAGATAAATGCTCTGAAGTAGAATGACTGATTCCGAGGACAGAATCCGTTTTAAACTTCTTGGTGCCCACTTTTTTCCAGAAACAGCACATACTGGTACCCCCCTCCAACAGCGGGCTGGCGTGACTTTGGATTTGCTAGTAGTAACCATCATGCCAATTTCCGTTTCTTGGGCACCTGCAATGTGCCCTTTGGTTAATAGATCCCTTTCATACAGTCCTCCTAGCAACCTTGCAAGACTGGCACTCTTCCCCTACAAAAGAGTGAACTGAAGCTTAGAGAGGTAGTTGCCCAGAGTCACAAAGCAAGGGACAAGCCTGCTGGAATTCCAAGTTGTTTCTAAGAGTCTCAAAACTCCATGCCCTTGCCCATTTGCCAAGCTTCATCCCACACCCAGTACAGCCTGCTCCTTACTCAGGAAAGGAGATAACCTACTCTCTACTCTCCTACATTGGGTGCCATTTTCCAAGCACTACCTGAGCCCAAGAGAGGCTCCCTGTTCCACACCCTTATATTTAGATTTTTAAATTTTTAAATCACCTATTACCAGAATCTCCTGGCTTTGATTGACAGATGACATCATTGTAAAAGGAAAGGTATCATCACATTTGGCTTCTTTAGACAGTGATCAGAGCTCCTTCTCAATCCTGGTTGGCCCATAAGCCAGCATATGTCCGTGGAATCCTCTCTGCACCCTGACTTTAAAGACGCCAGCCATGAAGAGGGCAGGAGAGGGTGCGTGAAGGAGCAGCACTTATAACCACCAGAACTGAATGCTAATTTTCCTTTAGCATCATATTCAGCAATAATTCATTTAAGTAGAATTAGTTCTTTCTTTCTTGGAGGAAAAAAAAAAACTCTCAACTTGTGGATGTTTCCTCAAGCCAGATTTCATGGTCTGTGTCAGAAATCTCTCTAAATCCTTGTAAGTTGTGCTTTGTTCTGTACGATGCATTTTTGAATGCTCACAGGGCTTATCCATAAAACTCCCTGTGATGGCTGAGTTTTCTCGCTCTTCCCACCCCCGAATTTGGAGAACACAGATCACTTTCAAGCACTGGGCTCAATCCAACCTTGTAGGCCCCGAGCGTAGACAGGAGACAAACATGAGCTCTGTTTGGCAGGGGTTCACCATGGCCGCTGGCTCCACCTTCTCCCTAGCTGGCTTCTTCATCTCCCAGTGACACACCTCCTGTCCTCTCTGACTCTGACCTCTAGCGCCTTGGCCCTTTGCAGCTACAGGGCTGCCATGCTCTTCCCTTCCAACCTCACAGCTCAGCCTGGGGAAACCGCCCTGCTCTGACATCAACCCTGAACCGCCCGCCTGGTTCCTCCTCCTCCCCTGGCTTTAGGGGGAAGGGTTTCTACAGCTCGCCTCTGCTGGTTGGCTCAATTGGTCGGTCTTTCGAGAAACATCTCTTGAAGTTTTGCCTGCTGGTGATTGAATAGCCCAGACTCGCCAAGGCTTGAACTGTGATGCTCTGGACAGGGAAGGCCCAGGGGCAGGGCAGTGTCCCCTGCACTAGGCTTCCACCCCAGCCTTGCCCGCCAATGTCGCCTATAGCCGTGGCACTGACATTTCATAAATCATACATTCTGGCAAGTTCCTAAAAGAAATCACAAGCCAAGCAACCAGCAAGCTTAAAAT